GTCCGTTGCATTTTATCATTCGGTTAAATCGAACCCGATCCAACTCGAGGTCGAAGCCTGTTGTTAAAGCCAGGTCCATTGCATTATCATTCGGTTAAACCGAACCCGATCCAAGCCGAGGTCGAAGCCTGTGTTAAAGCCAGGTCCGTTGCATTTTATCATTCGGTTAAATCGAACCCGATCCAAGATTGTGGTCGAAGCCTGTGTTAAGCCAGGTCCATCGCACTTATCATGTCGTTTAAATCACCCGATCCAAGATTGAGGTTAAAGCCTGTATCAAGTACGAGGTTCTTTGCATGTCGGGATCTCGCCTAGTGTCCAGTTGGGTCCATCTCTATCTTGTCTGAATAAAATTTTCGCTTTCCCAAATATTTTGTCTTTTGCCTTTATCTACCCTTTTAGTTCTGCAAGGATACACAAAGGGGGCAAGCTGTAGACACTGTATTTGGTCCGGCTTCATTTTAATTTTAATTTTTACTATTTAATTTTTGTTTTATTAAGTTTTATTTTGATTATTTTGGTTTAAAATACTATAAGATTACTTTATTATTGGTTATAAGCTAAAGTTAAAATTAAATTAAAAAAATAGATTTTGTTTTAAAGAATTTGATTTATTATTAAAATAAAATAAATAAAAAGATTTGATTTTAAATAAAGAATTTTGTTTTAAATAAATGAATTTTTTAATTAAAAAAAATAGATTTTGTTTTGGTTAAAAATAAAGATTTGGTTTCTCCTCCCGTTTTTCCTTCGTCATAATCGAACGCGTCATCCTTCCCTCCTTCTTCTCCCTCATTTTTTCTCTCTTCTTTTGACTCTTCTTCTTTTACCGTTATTTTTTTTATGTATTTAAGGGACAAGTGCATACAAGGCAGAGAGTTAGGAATTCACACCCTCACATTTTCTTCTTCTCTCCCTCTATAACACTCGTAACCACCACTCCATCTATTCTCCTTTCTTATTTCTTATCCCACCACCTTTTCTCCTTGATACCCACGACCTCCGACGACACAAGCAAATGACAGGACCTCCAATCACGAACTCCAACGACCTCCGGTGACGCATGCACTCCGGTGACCTCCCTCCCAGTAATACGCTTTAAGTGAGTAAATAAGTTGGAAAGAACATTTATTTTTAATAAGAAACCATTTTTTTAAGATAAAAGAAATTTTAAATAAGTTTTGAAAAGAAAATAAAAATTTTGATATTTTAAAAATAAAAAGATTTTTCTTTCTCTAATTTTGTTTAAATAAGAGATTTTATTTTAAAATTTTGGTTAAAATAAGTTGAAAAAAAGGAATTTTTTATGAAATAAATCTTATTTAAAAAAACAAATTGGATTATTTTAATTCAAAATTTAAAAGTTAGTTTTTATTTAAAAGAAAACTTTTAATAAGGTTTAATTTTTTTGGTCAAATTTGATAAGAGTCTTCTCCTGCAGTATTTTTTTTTATTTTGTTTTTTTTTGTCTCTTAAAATTTTGTTTTTTAAAGAGTCTTTTAAATTCTTTTTGAGTGAGTTTTGGTTTTTTTTCCCTTATTTTTTTTAGTTTTTCTATATGGAAGATTTTTTTGGTTAGATCTACACGTTTTTTTAAACTGATTTTTAAAAAAAGAATATTTAAAAAAAAATCTTTTGGAAGGTTGTTTTAGAATATATATATATTTTTCCTTTTAAACAGTTATTTTTTTGGAAGAAAATCTTAAAAAAAAAATAGTTTTTAGCAAATAAATTTTGTTTAAAGTAAATTTGACTTTATTTTTTAAATAAATTTTTTTTAAAAAATAATCTCGCTAATGTCGAAATAAATAAAAAAAGTTATTTATTTTTTTTGTTTTAATTTAACAAAATTCGTAGTTTTTTTAGGTTTAAAAAATAAATTAAAACTTCATTTTAAGATGTGGGCATAGTGGTACGATGTTTGATTTTTAATGTACATAACCGAAGTTTGTGTCACTAAATGATGTGTCAAATTCTGAAATGGAACGTGGTCTAATACTTAAAAAATTTTCATACCTTATCGATTGGTTCAGGTTCGACTTGGCCTTTGGGTCTCGACTTTTATCGTACGATTTAAAAAATGAATTTTTCTTTAAAAAAAAAATGCCAGGGAATTGAGATAAGTTGTCAATTCATTCAAACGATAAAAAACTGTATAAAAAAATGCAAGAAATTCAGATGAATGACGGAGTACGCAAACTGCAAGTGCTTCTCGGGCGACAGCTGATTTCTGATTCCTTGAACTCTCCACCGATCAGAAATCATCATGGTGGATCCTTGATTTCTCTCATCTTCTACTGTGCCATTTTGTTTGATTTTGTTTCCCTTTTCGACTTTCATTCGCGTAGCTAATAACCTGACTTCATCTTCTGTTGTCAAGGCTGAAAATGCGGCGGCGGCGACGGCGGCGACGGCGGCGGGAGCTTCTCCGTTGAAGCTTTACTCGTACTGGAGGAGCTCTTGTGCTCACCGTGTTCGGATTGCCCTAAACTTGAAAGGTCTGTCGCTTTTCTTCATTGGAATTCGATTATCAGCTGGTTTTTTGAGATGGCTTCTTCTTCTTCTCTAATTCTTTTTGTTCCTTTTTTTTAGGGCTAAATTTCGAGTACAAGGCTGTTAACTTATTGAAGGGAGAGCAATTCACTCCCGGTAATGATTATGCTATCGAATTTGTCTACATTTTAGAATTTCCTTACTCGTTTGTTTTTGAGGAAGCTGTTAAAATTGTATTCTGTATGAAGTTGAAGCTAACTTTCTACGTTTACTTGTTTTTCCGATGCTTAGAATATGAAAAGCTAAATCCTATCGGTTATGTACCTACTCTTGTTGATGGGGATTCTGTTATTGCCGACTCTTTTGCAATACTAATGGTTTGTCCTCTTCCTTTCGGAATTATAGCTTGCGGTTTCAGCTGTCTACTTTCTATTAATCGCTTGCTTTTGTTTTGAACTTACAGTATTTGGAGGAAAAGTATCCTCAGCATCCTCTGTTGCCTCGAGATCTTCATAAAAGGGCTATTAATTACCAGGTATTTTGCATTTTTTGATTCGTGTACGGGGGCATGGGGATAATAGCTAGCTACGAAAATTGCAAATGTATAAAAGCTATGTGGCTAGAGCCCTCGAGGGCAGCTGAGTTGGCAAGGGTTTGGGGCCTCTTAGTCATACTGGCTTAGAGGTCTCAAGTTGGAATCTTTTGGTGAACTTAATACTAAAAATCCTTGATGTCTCTTGAATCCGAGTCTTGGGACGGGCACGGGTGTTCTTGGATATAGGGGAGCAGCTTTGACTCCCAGTTATCCAAAAGAAATAAATAAATAAAAGCTATGTGGCTAGGCCTAAGATGGGGAGAGCCTAGAGATTCTTTCTTAAACATAGTATTACTGATGCAGGACTGTGATTGAAATTTGAGTACCATTTTAGCTATTGTTGTATGTAACATTAAATCACTTCTCCAAGTTTCTCCTCAGGCTGCGAACATTGTTTCTTCTAGCATACAGCCTCTTCAAAATCTAGCTGTTCTGGTGAGTGTTCAACATGCATTCTTTTGGAATTTAGTTTTCTTGGATGCCCTTTTATTGCCCCCTACACCGCTCTTGTAAAATGTTATATTTATGATGTTTTCCATTCACTGGAATTCTCTTCAGGTCTTTGTTTTGCTCGATTGGATCCCCTTTTTTTTAGGTTGACTCCTTTTGAGTTCGGCTTTTTATTTTATTTTGTTTTATGCCCTTGTATTCTTTCATTTTTCTCAACAAATGCGAGTTTTATCATTAGAAAGAAATAATGTTTGCCATTCACTTGTATTTTTCGCCTTCTTTATGGTACTTATGAGATTTTTATTCTTATTTATATTAATTAACTGTTTTCCCAATTTACAGAAGTACATTGAGGAAAAATCTGGTCCAGAGGAGAAACTTTCTTGGGTTCGACATCACATCGGAAAAGGTTTTTCTGGTAAGCTTGAGTTGAAATGAAACATAACTTCTCTAAACAAATAAGAAACAAAGATTGCTGATTAGTAACTGATGATGTCTATCCTCGAAATGGGACAAGTACTTATCTGTATACATCAATAGTTCCACCTATATTAATCCTTTTTATATCATCAAACCATGAAAGGACATTGTGCATGATAATATAGACGACATAGGCTGAATTTAAGACAAGCCTACTGTACCAGTTCTCTAATTACTTGTCTTATCATCCATCAGTCAGCTTCCTTACCCTCCCTCAAGTTGAGAGAGGAAAAATAAAAAGCTGCTGAAAGCTCAGCTCTCTCAATTCTTAATTTAAATAATTGATAAAAAGAGTTATTTATTCGGCCATTGGTTTCAGCGCTTAGAAGATACTAAAAGCTCATGCACCCTGAACTCTTTATTTACAATTGCTGAAAGAGTTGGCTTTTTTCTGCCATTTATGTGTGTTTCAGCCCTTGAAAAGCTGCTAAAAGATCATGCTGGAAAATTTGCCACCGGAGATGAAATTCTTCTGGTTAGTTTAAGTTTATGCTTATGTGTTATCCATGATACAGATGGTAGCATTTGTAGTGAAAATATAAGCAATTTTCTCATCTGCATATCATTTTGTGGTTTGCCCTTGGCTTGAAAGGTGTTTAAGACTTTTATTCTATCAAGTATCAGTAATCAATTTTGAAGCTTTATCAACAGAACCTGGCCCATTTTCAATTCAGAGGCAGCATTTCAATAATACAATAGATTTCTAGGTCGGTTTGTTGGAAAGGGGGTCAATATGAATGATAGATCATAGAAATATCATCCAAATTTCTCGCTGCTGGTGCATTTTCTGCAAAAAGAGTGAATCCAGACCACTCATTCACCAATTGTTATTCTGTGCTTGTTTGCTGGCAGTATATTTCCAAATATTTTTGGAATTCAATAGTGTTTCTCAAGATCAATCAAAGAGACCCCTCCAAACCTTATAGAGGTCTCCTTACAAAGGCAAGAAAAAAAAATCCTCTTGGAACAATATTATTAAGGCTCTTCTTTGGGAAGTGTGGTTAGAAAGAAATAGAACTTTTCTAAATCCAAACTCTGCCGGGCCCAAAAGTTACTTCACAATAGCCGATTCCAATTCCTTGATTATCTTGAAACAGGAGAACTTTTCAGAATACTTGTGTTAAAAATAATCTCTTGGGAGGGGTAACTAGTACAGCCTCCAAATGAAGTTCTGTTTGTAAAAATTTTTATAATTACTCTCTTTTAGACTTTGGTGCCAACTAGAGTGCTTTTATATAAGCTCTTAGGCGTTCTTAAGGATGTCTCATCCTCCATTTTGAAGTCCTTATTTTTTTAAATGAAAAGTGTTCATAGACTTCTTGAGTTTATAAAACTATAAAGAGTAGTGCTATGATCCAAATTATCAGAAAGTGAACTTGTAACTATATTGCAATTTCAAAGAGAAATTATATATCAATAGCCTTTCGAGAGGGCCACCTATCACCCAAATCCCACGTTAGATTATTCCCCCAAAAACTATCCTCCCTCTCCCCTAGCTAACTCCCTCTATTTATTACCAACATATCCCTAACTAATTATCATAATACCACCAACTAATATCCTAATAATAATTATCATAATGTCACAAGTCATTTATATTAGAACTTCTTTTATTCATCTTTTGAGTTTTGAGGTCAACTATTCCTTATCATTTGCAGGCAGACTTGTTTTTGGCACCTCAGCTTAACGGCGCCATTACAAGATTCAATGTTGACATGGTATTACTAGCTCTTAAAATTTCATTTGAGCTTACTTGTGCAACTGCTCTGCAATGCTTTGTAAATGATATAACAAGTAGTATTACACCTTGTGTCACTCTGTTTGTTATTTTTTCATTTAATAGTTTTCTGAGAACAGAGTCTATATGCCTTGAATATGCACCTTCATTAGTTATCTTTCACGTAATTACATTTTTCAAACTTTACTAAGAACTAAGAAGAGAAATAAGAGAGCAATAGAAACTAGGAAGTACCATATTGCTAATATTAGAATCAGAGCCTATGATTACACCATTATTTCAGCCTATGGTATGGTACCTCACTAATTACCGAGATAATGAAAATTGCTCGTTAGTCAACTACATATGTGATA